CCTGGACTCCTGGGTCCGAGGGGCTGGGGGGTGGATATCTGGTTGTGAAGTAGACTGAAGCTGGTCTCTGGGGAGCTGAGAACAAAGGCGAACTCCAGAGCCACTAACCCTGCGAATCTACAGAATTAGGGACAGAAGAACCGCCCTCTGGGTTTTGAGACTGTAGGCAGCTTGCAGGCCACACACATGTCTGAACTCCTGAGGCTAAATATTGGGAGATCGGGCCCCAAGGTCCTGAGCAGAAGGGGGAGGATAGTGACTGTACCCGAGCCCCAAGATGCAAGACTGGACAGAGGAGCCCAGGGCCTCGGGCTGGGCAGGGGACCCTGCTTCGAGCTTGTACCTGCAGCTCCTCGAAGCTCAGCCCAGCCACTTCCAGGGGCTGGCACCGCGTGCTCAGAGCGCGCCCCTTCTCCCCGCGCCGATCCTCTGCCTCGCGCTCCAGCTCCTGCTTCGCTATCTGCAGCATCAGGGTCTGCGAGGGGAGGCTGGACCTCAACTCACATCGTGGGGGGGAGCGGGATGAAGACCCTCGGGCTCCTGTCCTCTAATGCCAGCTCTGGCCTTCAGTCTTTCCGGGTCCCGCCCCCTCAAGATCCATCATTCCAAGGCCCGCCGCAAAGCCACGCCCCCAAACCCAACACTCCAAGCCCCACCCACTCCCACATTCGAAGCCTCAAGCTCCGCCCCCCAGGGACGCCTAGGCTGCCTCTCCAGACCGGGTCTCACCTTCAGCTGCAGTTTTCTCGAGGCGGAGATCTTTGACTTTTTCTGCGGGGATGAGATGGAGAGAGGAAGGAGCAGGGAGAGGGGCGCACAGGTAGGCAGTGGGAGGGGCTTAAGAACCCGCCCCCCTCATGCCAGGTCCAGATTTGAGCCCGCCTCCAATTCCAGCGCTCCCAGTACAGAGGCCACGCCCCTCAGTCCAATCCACCAATCTGGGCATCTGACTCTGGAACGGCCCCGCCCACCACCTCGTACGCAACCGCGGTTCCCACGAGCAACGGAACTCCGCCCATAGGCAGCGCTCACCAATCCGAGCCCGGTCCTGTACGAAACTCCGCCCCTCAAACTCCCGTCATCTGCCTGGCTCCGCCCAAGGCCCAAACCCCGCCTCCATGAAGGCCATGGCCCCGCCCCTTTTCTCACGGTGCAGGGTAACCTCCTAAGACTCTGAATCCAGGCCCCGCCCCGGCCCCGCCCACCGCGCGGTCCCGGCTCACCTTGGCGTGCGGCTC